GGTGCCCCCCCCCCCCCCCCCCCAATTATATAAGGCTCGAAACACCGCTGTTGGCAATTTTTAAAAGTAATTTTATAAAACTGAGAGGAATGTTATATTTCTATTAATTTTTAGAAACATTACTTCTTAAAGTGTGCCTTTTTTTCCTTTTTCGTATTCATTAGGGTAATTTTTTGTAGACCACCATCGATTGAGAGAATCCGCCATTGCTTTCTGTTATGAAATAGGCATTTTAAGTTAGCTTAGTGTAGAGAGGGGGGATTTTTTCACGAAATTAGAGAGTCGCTTTTAGTTAGTCAAGGCGAACAGGGGTCGCATTTTTGTCAGTCAATGCGAAAGAGTCTCGTTTTGGCATGCGAAGAGTCAATGCGAGCGCTTAGTGTTTCGGTCAATATGGCCCCAATAATAATCCAGCGTAGTGCCATTGCGTACATTAAAAACTTACACCAAGATCCTATATAAAGTCAAAAAATTACAACACATTATAATTTATAATGGGGGTTTACAGTATAGTTGAATTCCGCAGTTCTAATTTAATAAGCGTGTACCTACCTGAAACCATAAAACATTTTTTTGGACAATAAAAGTTTATTCAAAAATAGAGGCTGATTAGCAAAAAAATAATGAACATGTGCGGTTTTAAAGGTTTATTCAAAACGATATGATTGTGGCGGGCTCTGTGACGTAATAATCCCGACCAATCAGCTCCTAGAACCATTCAGATGGCATAACGACTTGGCAATATTGCAGGAGAATGGCATTTATAACTTGCGTCATCTGTCACAGGCACTTGTCACTTTCGTGCTAGATGCCACAGCCGTCTATAATTACAAGCCATGCTGAGAAGTTTGGCAACGTTGTTCGAAAGTCAATCGGTGGGCCGATGTAAGTTTTAATGGAGTCTTGTTGCCCTTGAAAAATGGCATTTTCCTTTCTCCTGTGTTTCGCTTTGGCGGTTTTAATATAGAAGAAAGATACTTAGGCAGCTTACAATTGTGCATATATATTATTTAGTTACAAAAATGGATAATAACATTTTTATTTGAGCTTAAAATTCGGACCGCTGTAAATTGGTAACTGCATCATAATGTGTTTTCCATCCAAATTGGTGAACTTCTGTCGAAAGAGGTCGAGGTGAAGTACACGCTTGAGCACTTAATTTCGGTAAAAGGACAGTAAATCGCTGCGCATCAGCGAGGTTATATCAATGACCAGGTGTCATTCGGAATGGCAGACTTTAAGCCAGTCGCTACTCTAGTGGGTCTAGGTACGAAGCTTTTAAAGAGGGGAGCCCCGTAGACTTCAAATTCCCGTACCATGAACTCTTAGGAATAAGTTGAAAGGTTCCTTCAGAAAATCGATTTGACATGTCCGTGCTAGAATACCTGAAATACAAACTAATTGTATTTTTTCACGATAAACACTTACCGTACTTAAGTACCAGGTAGTGTGTAGGTCATATTTGAGCTTCTTACAGGTACTTTGAACAAATAAAAGTGCTTGTAAAGGGTCCAGTAAGGAGTAGCCTGCTTTAGAGGTTATGACAACAAATCGATATATTTCGTTTAGCAACTTACCTGAATAATAATTTCTGTTCATTTCGTAGGGAGTAACACAAATTGTCGCAATTTCGCTCTGTTAAAACAGGTAAATTGGAATATTACACCCAAAACACATATAAAATACACTCAACATCTGTCAAGTTGAATTAGGAAATCGGCCTACCATGCAGTGTTGCCATAATTCTGAGCACGGCTTGTAATTATAGACGGCTGTGTAGATGCAGTTAAACATCCCTCTCAAAACGTCAAATGTGACAAACGTCAGACCCTCGCGTAAGGTTGCCAGCTCACTTCTACGTGATTGGTTGTAGGTTTGTGACGTATTTAGTCTGAAGCGTTTCAAATTCGGACTAAAAACACAGCTTTTCAATAATTTATTTTGGGTGTATTTTACTCGCAAATAAAAATTGAGGACACACGGGTCTTTTTATTTTTAATGTACTTTGTGGATCAGAAATAAAAAATGAAGGCGGGATGACCCCATTCAAGATGAAAAGTTTGCGAAAAAAAAGTTTCCCACACACTATATTTTTGTGTGACAGTACAGTTTTCTGATTGCGATTTTCATTTTTCAATCAAAACAAGGGAAATTATCAATCAATACGTAGTAGCAATGCTATAATAAACAAGTTAAAAACTAATCGTAAACGATTTACAAAAAGCGCATTTCCACTTGCATTCATTTCCCATTTGTCAGATGCAACTTCTTAGTCCAGGGAATAGAGGGTTTTAACTTGCAAAATGAGAAGTAGTTCCAATTTCTTTTGCATGTCATAGACAGTCATCTGGTGGTTAAGAATCTCAGTTTTCGACTTCCCACCCCTTGTGCTTCCCCCGTACCACCCCCAAAACCCCTGAAATTTGGTTGGTTTCTTAGTTTTTCAATCATATCTTTTAAATGGTTCACTTTAGAAAAAAATATTGTATCAGAAATTGTAAACCACAAAATTCTATACAACTTTGATATACACTACTTTTTTGTGAAATGTTTATTAAAAAAGATACAGAGCTTGAGAGTTGGTTATATTTTTAAAAATTCTGAAATTTCTATGTAGATGTTTTAACCAAACTTCATACTTTATCTCCATAATTAAGAGTTTTATGAAAAAATATCTTGAATTTATCGAGGTATAATTAAATCCCTCTACCAAAGGGGATGCATAATAATGAAACTTTCAACCTTTGGTAGGGAGGATATTTGAATCACTGTCAGATGGTTGCGCTTTCTAATATACTTTTGAAATTGAAAAATTGTCTTCATCCCCCCCCCCCCCCGCGCGGTAGGAATAGATATTTAAACGCTCTTGTGGTGATTGTGAAGTTAGTCAGAGAGTACAATGCTTATTATATATATTTTCTATTCCTCTTTAAATATCTATTCCTACGGCGGTTGGGGGGGGATGAAGGATGAAGCTGAACTGAAGTCAGATAATTTTTTTATTTCAAACGTATATTAGAAAGCCCTACAATTCAAATATCGCCACTATTTTCTCATAAAACTCTTAATTATAGAGATTAATTTGGTTAAAACATCTACATACAAATTTTAGAATTCTTAAAAATATAAGCAACTCTGAAGCTCTAGGTATATCGTTTTTAATAAACTAATAAACATTTCACAAAAAAATAGTGTATATCAAAGTTGTGTAGAATTTTATAGTCTACAATTTCTTTTCTGATAACAATATTTTATTGTAAAATGAACCTATAAAAAGATTATGATTGAAAAACCAACCGAATTTCTTTGGTTTTAAGGGTGGTACGGGGGAAGCACAAGGGGTGGGAGGTCGAAAACTTGGATTCTTAACCACTAGATATTCTTTCATGACATGCAAAAAAATTGGAACTACTTCTCGTTTTGCAGGAAATGGTCCATTTTCAGTCTCTATTTCCTGGACTATCTGTTAAAATCTTATAAAAATACGTCCACAAATATGAAACATAGCGTTGCACATGTGCAAGCCATTTCTGACGTGCTACTTCAATTTCTGTTTATAGGAAGAATTTCATTTCAATGCTTTTCTAAATAAGAAAGTTGGAACTGCGCATGCGCAAAATAAAATTTTGAAACTGCCGTTAGATTTTCCTTTATTCTAAGCACCTATGTATGAATTTCATTTAAATGCTTCTATAAATAAAAAAGTTGGCACTGCGCAAGCGCAAAACCAAATTTTGAAACTGGCATTAGATTTTCATTTATTCCAAGTGCCTATGTATCAAATATCATTCAAAATACTTTTATAAATAAAAAAGTTTGCAATTCGGTTTATACATGGTCGAGATGCGAAAAGGGCACTGTGAATTTTGAATCGATTCGACTCAACTTTTGGCACTGCATATTATATGGCTAAAGAGCTATGCCCATATTGATTTTCATGCAATTCAGTTCATAACTAACGGAGATGTCAAAGCGATCGAACATTTCTAAACAAAGTTATCGTTCACACGGACAGATAGAGGGACAGACAGACAAAGGAACAGACGGACAGACCAACAGACAGACGACAGGCAGCAATACAAAATTATAAACGATCTCTAGGATCGTTAATAAACGGCAAAAGTGTAAAATTATGGAACATGTATAAAACGGTTTTTTGATTTTTTTTCTTTCCTTGGTGCACGCCTCGACACCATAACGAACCAAATAGCGAAAAAAGTAGAACAATTAGCTCTTAAGATAAAAAAACTAGTAGCGTCTCAACGAACGAGCGGACAGACGGACGGGCGGACAAAGTGACCATAATAGAGCATTTTTTTTTATTTTTGTGGAAATGCGCTAAAAAGCCCCCGGGGCAAAACTCGGATATACACTACTGGTAGTGGTCCTAACAGCATATTAAAAAATTTGCCTTGGCTAACACAGATACCACCCCCACACCTGCGCACGTGCGATTCTGCCCTTTTATGTCTAAGAACGTGTACCAAATTTGGTTCCAATCGGTTTGGCCGGAAATGAGAGTAACGAAGCATCGACAGACCGATATCATTGTCATTTTGTTTGGTTCGCATTTCAGATGCTTCAAAATATGTATTTCCGTCAAAAAAGTGGGGGGGGGGTCATTTTTTACCTCATTGCAATACCTATACCTAAAATCAGAACTAGCCGTTAGTTTGCGATTTTAGCGATTTCTAAAATACGACTGACGTAGAGATGAAATCAAAGAATTCATTAGTTCTATTACACATCGGTGATTTGATGATACTAACTACATATTTGAAATAAAATTTTGTGGAGTATTTAAAAATAGAATACATATTGCCTAAACACGGCTGGGGATGGTTACTAAACAGCATCCCTGCAGTGAGATTTTTAGTGGCGCTTTCCATCCGTCTCAACAAGCCCATTATAGTTAGTTAATCCCGTGCGCTGCACACAAACAAAGCGCCGCTCCACCTCCGCCCGTTGTTGCATCGGGTAAAGATATACCATGCAACGGGGCGGGCGCCTCACCAGTCGGCAGTCGCCGTCGAACGGTAAAGAGGATTGTGTGTTGATGTTATGGTCACTCGTCATCGTGCTACGAACAGGTTGAGCTAAATGCCCCAAAGTGTAATTGTGAGTAGAAAATTATCTCGCCTCGCGTAAATAATAAAATGCATTTTTCGGCACCCGTGAATTTGTGTGAAAAGCAGACCTCAAAGTGGCCGCGGCGTTTCAGTTTTACAAACGATAGTGAATCAAAACTTAATTTAAGTGTATTTATAATTTTAATTACAATGTTGTCACACACGACAAATGCATACAAAATTGACGAATCAATCTCCATAAACAAACCGATATTGCGACGTGATCCAGCAGGATGGGTTCAGTTTTCAACAGGTAAATCAATTAATAAATTTCGAAATATATTATGAAGTACATTGAACCCCCCTATATCAATATTGATCGTGAGAACATTTTTATTGTCTCATTATTATATGGAAGTTTTTACAATTGTAAAAAATTTACATCTCTATTAAGTTTTATTGGGAATTTATAATTGAATACGTAATCGATTACTTATAGAGTTTCAAAAACAAATTTTAAAAAAAAATAAACGAAGTTTTGATTATTAATTTAAGGCGAGCAAACAAAAACAAATATTGAAATTTTCGTTCATTAATTTTCGGGTTGACAACCATTATTAATTTATAAAAAAAATATGTAGTTAATATAACCGGTTTTTATGGTTCATGGGATTTTAAGGCTCATTAAGTATCTTTTGAACAGACAGAGAGTATAAGATAATGGTCGATAAATGTTTATCTTTTATTTTTGACTTATGGTCCCCTTTTTATTTACATTTAAATTGCAATTAGTATCGTGTTTATTTAAGGTGTACAGTTCGCTCGCTAATGTGGGAACCGCTCGTTCTCGTCTAAAAATTGTTGCAAAACCTCTCTAATTTTCCTCGTCCGAATTTTATTGCCCCGCTCGAAAATGCCATCGTATAAAAAAAACGCACCGGCGAATTCCTATCTCTTTCGGGCACATTGCGATACCGTGTTACATAAACTAGCTCCAGTTTTTTGGAACGCGTTTTTTGACGGCTTTATCGGTTTGTGTAGACCGAGTTGTTTATGTAATAAGCTCTAAACTTAAAATTTTTCTGTGGTTGGAATGAGATTTGCATAAAAAGAGGGCCATAATTTGTTATAATTTACCTCCACTATCTACAGGAATTTGCATTTTGTACTAATATTTAGAAATTTATTATACGTTTGGGCGCCCGGTGTAGAACTAGAAGTTTTGCAATTATAATCCGTTAACATACCTTACCGATACTGTCCCTACCTAGGTCCCTGCTGTGATATCTATTATAATTGTTGCTAATGATAACATTAATCGGTACTTACGTAATTTTTAAATAAAATTGCTTTACATTCTGTATGCAATACTTTCAGCATTAAGTATGAATGTTTTTTAAACATCTATAAACACAGCGGCGGCGTGAACTTGAGAGCAAGAGTTCTACCACTCGTTCTACCATATACTTCCACATGGTGATTTATTTTAGGTTGCTTCTTTTTAGCGCATTTCCACAAAAAAAAATGCGCTATTGTGGCTACTTTGTCGGTCTGTCCGTCCGTCCGCTCGTTCGTTGAGACGCTACTAGCTACTTTTTTCGCTATTTGGTTCGTTATGGTGTCGAGGCTGCACCAAGGAAGGAATTTTTTGTGCGTTTATTCCTAAAAAAGTTATTGTAACTAAAAACCGTATTTTACATGTTCCGTAATTTTACACTTTTTCCGTTTATTAACGATCCTAGAGATCGTTTATAATTTTGTATTGCTGTCTGTCGTCTGTCTATTGGTCGGTCCGCCTGTGTCGTAAATTTAAAGACATCGTTTATTTATTACACATTACTAATTAGACGTCTTATTATTTATTAGTCACGAATACGCAATTTATAACAGCGCGAACAATTTTTTACTTCGGCATCGAAATTAGAATGAATTGAAATGCAATTCGTTTGCTTATGCACCCTCTTCCTCGAAAGATCTCGAGTGCTTCCGAATGCGTCCGACTATTCTAGAATGTTCTCGAACAAACACGTCATGTTTCTCGGAAAGATTGCGTCACATCCACCTTTGTTATTTATCGCTGATGACTAATTTTTCATGGCGCCGCGATGTCTATCGAAATTTGTGAAATGTTCGCTACACTCTTAAAACGAAGGACGGTGGGAGTGGAGACACAGTCCCAGGAAACTTTGGTTCTATAACACGAACTTAACGGCGGTACTTACACGACGATCCCCTCGTGCATCTTCCATTCTTGAAGAAAAAACAATCCACCGTCTTACCAATTGGTTGTGGGGTTAAAGCCACAGACCAATATTTGCACCCCGGTTCCCTGGAATACCACCTCCAGCATCTTGTGCATGATGCACCAGTCCAACCTATTAAGGTCACACCCGATCTTCGAAATTGCAAGCGTTGTAACGCCATGAATCTGTAGTTATCGATTCAGATGCTGTAACGCATTTCAAAAATCTTCGCAACTAGGCTTATCACAAGACCGGTCCTGTATTACCGGGTAATAAAGAAATCGTTTCTGCTCCTGTACAACTGCGAACAATGTCAACTTTCTAATTTCTTGAGATATTGCCTACCACGCATATTTTAGACATCAGATGTGCGCATGCGCAGAATGTTAAATTCCTATTTATAAGAATATTTATTTATATTTTCATATTTATTCAGATTCATATTTTATTTTCTTTTTACAAAATTGGAAAGAGCATACCCAGCAACCACATCTCTAGGTCCAACCCGAGGTCCAACGTGATGCATAGGACAAAATTTCAAACAACAAAGTTTTGGGGGCGTAACTCCCAAATTAAACATTTGGGATCCTTATTTTATTATGAGAAAAATTGTTTTAACAGATGGTGTCCCAGATAACTGTAACCTTGACAGTAACTACATGCGGATTTCATGAAAGTGTAATATTGGCTGAATGGGAAAACCGAGGAGAAAATCGTTCCGAGCTCAATCATAAGCTGTAACGAATTTAAAAATCTGTCCAGGGGTTTTCCAAAATATTGAGCGAGAACTAAAAATTGTACTTTTTAGGGATGTCGCTGCCATCTTGTAAACAAATTTAATAAAATTTGGTAGTTTTGTATAGCGACTACCGTCAATTGAATGACTTTAACCTCGACTTTAACGAATTTTTGGTAGGTCTTTTGGTTTTTTGCAACTGTACTTGGCTGGTTGTGAAACAAATGCCGTAATTGTGTTTGTTGTCATAGGTGGGTAACTATCTGGTTCTATGGCACAAAATGGAACAACCACACATGTTTTGTTCGTATTTCCGAACTCTACAAGCCAAACTTTGTCTTTTGTCCATTGATTGTTTACATTTGACTGTTTTTTTTTAAATAAATCGCTTTTTCCCAATTTGAAAACCTTAATGGACGGTAGTACATCTTAAAAATATCATAATTACTTGAAGAATGTTAAAACTCTTCACAGATAAAAGCAGATAAACGAAAAAGTGTGGACAGATAGTTACCCACCCATGACAACAATCACATTTACGGCATTTGTTTCCGAGCTATATACTTAAGTAAGTGATAAATTTACATTTTCCGCCAACCAAAGGTAGGCTTTTATCTCGGCTTTCATACATGGCTGAACAGTTTTTTTATGATCTATTTAATGACGTATGGTTATGAATTATGATGATAAAATATCTAGCACGCCTAGAAGAAAATTGTTAACGCTATTCGATTGGCCGTATCGCTAATACAAAACTACCAAATTTTACTACCTAAATTTGTTTACAAGATGGCGACGATATTTAAATTTTTCTTAAAACACAATTTTCAGTTTTTGCTCGATACTTTGAAAACACCTTGTAGACCTTTGAATTATAATTGGACTAAATATGCTTTTGTCTTATTTAACCAAAATTGTGACTCTTACCGTTTCCGAAATCAGCACGTAATTTCATTTATATGGGACACCCTGTTAGAGATTAAAATATACAGGGCGTTCCATGTAAAAAATGAGGGTTAGGTCCGATAACTTTTTTCTTGACTTTGATAATTGATATCAAAAACCGACTCTAGGTGACTTTTGTTCGAGATCTGTCCGCTGTTACCTCTTCCGCAGTTCCGCTCTGTAAGAACATTTCTAAGCTCGTTTGTAAGTGTGGTTCGCAAAACTAACTGAACAGGAAGATTACAAGTCAAGTAAAGAAATAAACTAAACAAATATAGAAAACGAGCTCCTGGGTATGGCTATAGGTAGCATGTGCAAAACCAAATTTTAAAACTGGCGTTAAATTTGTTGTTATTCCAAGTGGCTATGTATCAAATTTAATTTGAATGCCTCCATAAATAAGAAAGTTGGCACTGCGCATGCGCAAAAAAACTAAATTTTGAACCTGGTGTTAAATTTGCTTTTATTCCAAGTGGCTATGTATCAAATTTCATTTAAATACCTTCATAAATAAAAAAGTTTGCAATTCGGTTTATAAATGGTCGAGATGCGAAGAGGGCACTGTGAATGTTAATCGATTAGGCTCAATTGGAATTGCGTTTTATATGGCTAAAGCTATACGCAAATTGAATTTCATTCAATTCGGTTCATAAGTAACTCATGGAGATGTCAAAAGAGCCTTCCTTTTTTTTGGGGTACATTGCCAATTCACGAACTCCGATATACAAATTTGATAAATAATCCACCTACAAAATTTTATCGTAATTCGTTATCGAGATATCGTGCTAACGGACGGACAGACACCGCAAAATTATAAACTCGCTAGGAGCTCGTTAATAAGCAGAGTAAGCGGCTACACTGTAGGCTACTAGTAGTTCTTTGGAGCGCGTCAGTTTAGATAGAAAGAGGGGCCCGTTTATGACAAACCTCTCTTACTGTCTTTTCAACTCCTATGGCTCTATGACATGGCTACAACCCCTGCAAGCTTTGTAATTTTCTGAACTTGAGGTCCTAATCTCAACGCTCAACTCTATACAGCATTATAGGGGATGGTTGACTGAGAATATCAAAAGAATCGATAATCTACTACCGCAATATTAACGCAAACGGTAAGTACCCCCTCCCCCACCCCTCCTAACACAGGGAGAGGAACTTCGCATTAGATTATCCCTTATCAGTTTACTGATGTCTAGACGTTGTTTAACAATTCACCATACGTCCATACACCTAATCGCAACCGGAATGAATCGCCACGCGGCGAATTTCCTGGGTTTTGAATCCCAGTTTGAATATTGTGTACCTAATCTGCTTTGGAAGACTGTCTTGTTGCTCATTACATTGCGAAAAACCATTGCGGTTGACCTCTGTTAACAAAGCAATAATAATTAG